CATATCTCATATATTTTACAGCTGGACTACACCAGCTAGTGTCCAGATGCAATGGAAAGAAAAAGCAAAAAATAAAACGCAGTGGAAAGGAAAAGGAAAAGCAAGTCTGCAAGGAGGTGGAGAGACAGAGAAAGGCACAGTGGGAAACAGAAACCAAAGCAAAAGGAAAGCAAAAAGGAAAAGAGAAAAGAAAGAATTATGCTTTCTTTAGTTGAAAGCTGAAGCAAGTTGGTGCTTTCTTCATTTTGTCGACCACCCACAGAAAAGCTATGGATAGCAGGCACGCAAACCTGCAAAAGCAAGGAATAAACACCCCACCAGAATGATGTGATTTACTTTTCTTGGCATATGTATGATGTAATTTATTTTTCCTATTTTTCGGAGACATCTGTATAAACCCTATCAGAGGGTAAAAAAAAAAAAGGGGCAAAGCCCAAAATAAAATGGCTGGAATATTGTGTGGAGAGCGAAGGCCCATAAGCCCAAAATAGCTCAAACCAGGCGATCAAAAGTATGCCCAGTACTTTACAATTATTTGACAACTTGCCGCTATTACCACCAACCAGGTGATCAAAAGTACGCCCAGTACTCCACAATTATTCGGCAACCTGCCGCTATTACTACCAACCAGGTGATGAAATGTACAACCCGTACTCTAATATCATTTGGCAACTAGTCATTGATGCCACCAACCAGGTGATGAATGTACAACACGTACTCTAATATCATTTGGCAACTAGCCATTCATGCCACCAACCAGGTGATGAAATGTACAACCTGTACTATAATATCAGTTGGCAACTAGCCATTCATGCCACCAACCAGGTGATGAAATGTACAACCTGTACTCTCCTTTATGCCACCAACCAGGTGATCAAAAGTACGCCAAGTACTCCAAATTATACATGAGCATTACTCAGGTCATTCATACATAAACATTCATGAGCATCACTCATGACAATCATACATAAACATTCATGACCATCATTCATGTCAACATTCATGAGCATCACTCATGTTAACATTCATGAGCATCACTCATGACAACATCCATGAGCATCACTCATGACAATCAACATAAACATTCATGAGCATCATTCATGTTAAACAGCTTCAAAAGCTTCATTTACAAAACTCTAGCTTCAAAAACTTCATTTACAGAGCTCTAGCTTCAAAAGCTTCATTTACAAAAGCTCCAGCTTTGAAAGCTTTATTTACAAAGCTCTAGCTTCAAAAGCTTCATTTATAGAGTTCTAGCTTCAAAAGCTTCATTTACAAAACTCTAGCTTCAAAAGCTTCATTTACAGAGCTTCAGCTTCAAAACTTCACTTACAAAGTTTTACCTACAAAAGCTTCAGTGCAGGGTATACAAATACCGCCTCCGAACAATCGCATGGATTCAATTTGAAGTCTCCAGCCAACAGACTTTATTGACCGAAGACTTGGGGGACTACATTATGTACCATATATTGGGCCTCAACTGGGCCTCATGAAAAATACTTGGGGGACTTAGCCCATTATCTATGTACTGATGAGCGAACTCTTATTCTATAAAAGGGACTCCCTCACTTTCATTAGAGAGCCCTCATGAAAAATACTTGGGGGACTTAGCCCATTATCTATGTACTGAGGAGCGAGCCCTTATTCTATAAAAGGGATTCCCTCACTTTCATTAGAGAGCACTCATGAAAAATACTTGGGGGGCTTAGCCCATCACTTATGTATTGAGGAGTGAGCCCTTATTTTATAAAAGGAACTCCCTCACCTTCGTTAGAGAGCATCGCCGCCAGCTGAGCAACCGCCTCGCCATGAGCATCATTCCTAACCCATTATTCATGTACTGAGGAGCGAGCCCTTATTTTATAAAAGGGACTCCCTCACCTTCGTTAGAGAGCATCGCCGCCAGTTGAGCAACCGCCTCGCCGCAAACATCACTCCTAACCTATCATTTATGTATTGAGGAGCCAGCCATTATTCTATAAAAGGGACTCCTTCACCATCATTAAAGAGCATGAACTCTAGCCATCATTCATGTATTGAGGAGTGAGCCCTTATTCTATAAAAGGGACTCTCTCACCTTCAAACGCTACAAGCCGAGCTAACAAAGGCAACATAAGCCACAAGCCGAACAGCCTCGTAGCGTGTGCTACTTCTAGTTGAGTATCATTTCAGATTGAGTACTACCTCATATCGAGTATCAGTTCAAGACAACATCTAGTTACTTCGGCCCACACATAGACTGAATTTCAAGTCTCCAACCAAAAGACTCTCTTGACTGAAGACTTGAGGGACTACTGTTTATACCATATTTAGAGCCTCCGTATTTAGACATCGTATAAATACTCGGGGGACTTAAATGTAATTATGTAATAAAGGAAGGGGCAAATATGTAATAATTGAGGAGTCCTTATTCTATAAAAGGACCCCTCACCCTCATAATTAGAAGATGCCAATTCCTAGGCCCTCTCACCCCTTCTCAAAGCTCTCACTCTCAGAGCTCTCTCTCCCTCAGATAAATACATAACCAGTGTGGACGTAGCCCAAACCTTGGGGTGAACCATGATACATCTTGTATTATTTACATTACTTGCAGATTCACGGTCAGATTTACGTTATTCTAAGACCTCCGGTTTTGTGCATCACCATAGTTCATGGTGGAACCCGTGGCAGCCCACGATGAATTTGTTGATGGCATTTCCACAAAAGATGTTGTTGCCGACAAATCATCCGGCCTTCGCGTCCGAATTTATTTACCGGAGCGAAAGCCGGAGGGTTATGACACCAAGCTACCAATAATCCTCCATTTCCACGGGGGTGGCTTTTGCATAACTCAAGCTGATTGGTACATGTACTACCACATATGCACTAAACTATCTCGCTCCATGAATGCCATTGTAGTCTCTGTCTATCAGAGGCTCGCACCGGAGCACCGTCTCCCGGCTGCCATTGAGGACGGCTATTCCTCTCTCCTTTGGCTCCGATCATTGGCTCGAGGTGAGCAAAACGCCACGCCTCAGCCATGCAGACTATGACCGTGAGTTTCTTATTGGAGATAGCTCCGGAGGAAACATAGTCCACCACGTGGCGGCTCAAGCGAGGACTGCAGATCTGAGTCCCTTAAGACTTGCCGGCGGGATTCCAATCCACCCTGGTTTCGTTCGAGCGTAGCGGAGTAAGTCGGAGTTGGAGCAGCCTCAGTCACCTCTCCTTACCCTAGACATGGTGGACAAGTTGTTAGGGTTAGCCATTCCAGCGGGGTCCACCAAGAACCATCCCATAACTTGTCCGATGGGTCCCAAGGCCCCACCGTTGGATAATTTGAAGCTTCCGCCGTTCCTTCTCTGCGTTGCTTCCAAGGACTTGATCATAGACACGCAAATGGAGTACTTTGAGGCCATGAAGAAGGCCAACAAGGATGTGGAACTTCTAATCAACGAGGGGGTGACTCATTGCTTTTATCTGAACATAATTGCTGTGGACACGGACCCGGAAACAGCCGCAGAAACTGAGCGTCTGATTGCAGGGATCAAACAGTTTATCAAGAACCACTATGATTGAAGGACTTTGGCCTTCTCAGTTTTTATATAATTTTGGGTTTTGGTAACGATTTATTTATTTTTTATATTTTGTTCTTTGGTTAATGCAAGAGAGGTGTGCCACACATGTTTTTTAGATCCGCATACAAAAGTGAGGGATCCCATGGATAAGATGATGAGATATATATTGTTGGAACATTATCGGCTTCCTAAGTTTTTTTTTTCTTCTTTTTTCTTTGCAGAAGTGTTTACTAGCCCAAAGAGTGTCTTACGTTATTTTTCTTTATTGTCATACCTTTTGATTGTTTTCAGACTGCGAATGTCTTCAATAAAATTACCAATATATTCATGTTCTCACGTTTGTGGTTGAAGGGACTTTTGGCTATATTTATTATTTACCTATGATGTTTTAATAAAGCATTTTATGTTGTAAATATTATTTATCATGTCTAAGTGAATATGTAATTAGTTAGTATATTTTTTTTTATGAAATGCTAAGGCTCAGTTTGGTATTGCATTTTTTTTATTTTACTAAAAACTGCTTTACTATAAAGTTAAGCAGTAAAAAAATGTTTGGTAAAAATAAAATATAATGCTTATTTTAAAAGCAATGGTTTCAGAAGGTAGTTTTTAAAAGCACAGTAGCTTTTAAAAGCAGTATATTGGTTGATTTTAAAAGCTGCTTTAATAAAGAGCAGAGTTCAATCTTTAGAATATTTTTAAATCTTGTAATAAACTCATTAATTTTAAACAATGACATTATTTATCCTCCTAGACATTGCTTTTACACTGTTATATTTTTAAATCTTGTAATAAGCTCATTAATTTTAAACAATGACATTATAACATTGTTTTTACACTGTTTTTTATACTTACCACACTTTTGAAAATACAATTTATCAAAAGCTCAACTGTTTTATTTTATAGTTGATTATTCTTAAAGCACATCAGAAGTAATTTATTAAAAAAGTACAACAATCTCAAACTGACCCTAAGCCTATATATAGACACTCTAATAAGAAGGAAATGATACTCTCATTTCTTCTCCCATACTCTCTCTCGTTTGTCTTTATTCTATCTTACTCCACATTTTATTTTCAACACGTTATAACTCTTATACAAATTGAGGTTTTATTTGTGCCAAGTTTCATTATCTATTCTAAAATTGAGGAGGGATTTGACTGTAGCTTAGCTACAGTCAAATGATTGACACTCGATTTTGCTTTATTTACATCACTACCATCATATCTCTGGCTGGGTTGGAAGGGTAATTATTACAACTTAGAAGGGTAATTTTGTCCGTGGGTTTGAGCCGAATTTCACTTTATTTACAAAATTGCCACCGCCTTTTCCTTCCCTCTTTCTCTCTCCCGACTCTCTCGGTAACCATCCATCAAATCCCCATCCTTCCCTTTTCTCACTCTGTAAGTCTCATTTCCTACAACCCTAGAGCACCGTTTCTCTCAAATTTGACTCAGGGAGAGAGAGGGAAGGGGGACAGAAGGGTTGACAGGTTGGAGGGAGGGAAGGGGGACAGAAGGGTTGACAGGTTGGAGGGAGAGGATCGTCGGGATTTAGGGGAGAGGATTTTCGGCAGGGAGGTATGGGTTTAGGGAGAGAGAGAGTAAGGGAGAAGTATGGGGTAGGCGGATTTCCAGGGATTTCTTTTCACCCCTTCACTCACCACGAACCCACCTTTCCCTTCTTTTCTTCCGTCCTCAAATCTTCTGATTTCCCTCTCACAAAATACCCACCAAGGAAACCCTACTTTTGGTTTATTTTGGGATTTTGTTTGCGCTCTCGATTTTCAGACGACGGGCCAATTGGTTGAGATTTGGATTTCTTCTCCTTTTGTCGAAACGCACAAATTTTGTTTCGGTGGGATTGGTCTCGAATAGCTGCGTGTGTCTACCCTTTCCAAGGTATGGTGTTCACCGATGGCATGTTTTAGTGTGTTTCTGTTTTTTTTTTCTTTGTTTTGTATTTCTAATTTATTGTTTGCTGCTTGACAATGGTGATTGTATGTTTTAGTTTGGATGTTTTTCTGATTTTGGGTTGGTCAGTTTTTTTGGGCTGCTTGAGAAAATGTGATCCCATGTTTTGACTGAGTGAAATAATTAATAGATAAAAGAGTGGAGAATTAGTGTCAAGAGTAGTGATGGAAAAAATGAGGAAAAAAATATAGATGTGGAAGAAAAAGGGGGGGGGGCTGGAAATCGAGCAAGGTGAAGAGAAAAAAAAATAGGGGTTAAGTGAGCAGCCAAAAGAGAAAAAAAATGAGGGGAAAAGGCTCAATGTGGGGAGTGGGCAAAAGAGAAAAGCAAGGGAAGGGAGACAGAACAGGAACAAGGTGTGGTTTTGTTGTTGGTTTTATCCAAATTTTTGATTTGGCATTGGTTTGAAGCTTATGTGTTATTAGTATAGTCTAATTTAGTGTTGGTTTATCTAGGTTTGTAGCTAATTTAATGTTAATGTTGATCTAGGCGTTTTAATTTGTTGTGAACTTATATGAGTTTCGTTTTTTAATTGTTATTTTACAGTTGCTAGGGATGACTTTGGCTTTTATATTGGTTTGGGTATTTTTTTTTTCATTTGAAGATTTAGTGTCATTATACACCTTTGCACCACTGTTTGTTCTGTTTTTCTCGGTTTCTGTATATATTGGACTGTTCTTTTTAACTTAATTAAAGTTTTTGAGACTTAATTGAATGAAAGTTTAGTGTGTGTTTTGGACTAATGGTTTTGTGTTGTTATGTGGGTTTGTGAAGATGGATAGATGTGTGGCTCGGTTGCAGGAGCTGCAGTACACAGTTTCGGGCGGTACGAAGGTGATCTCAGGAGTGAGTCTCCGCCCTGGGAGTTCTAGAGGTTATCTCAGGGCTAGCCTCCGATGCAAACAAGAAACTGCAAGGTAATTGAGAATCTGATTTTAATTTGATTTGTACAAACCAGGAACAAAAAATCCCAGCTTTTGCTTGAATTTGAAGTTTTTGATTTTGATATTGGAACTGAAATGGGTCTTTTGATTTATGCAGGATTAAAGGCTCAGCCCCTAGAAAATCTCCTGTTGGCAAGTTTCCAGCAAAGGCAGGAGGTATCTCCCTCTCTCTCTCTCTCTCTCCCTAAAATCATAGACGTATGGCCAAATGTGTTTTTTGACAAGAAAGTTTATCCTTCACTTTTTTCAAAGAACAAAATTGAGTTTAGATTCAAAATCTGAACCTTTTGTTTTTGAAAATACGACATTCTAAACAACAGAAGCTCATTACTTTTTGTTTTTTAATAAAGCCATTACCAGTTTCTGAATTGATTCTACATTTTACTCTGTTTTTATGCCTAATACCGTTTGTTTTCCATTGGGTAGCTGTATAAGTTTTCCATAAGCTTCGATCATCTCCCCAATAAACCCAGAGCCTCCTTCTCTCCCGCTAAGCAAAAGAAAATCAAGGAGGCCTGCAACTTCGTATGCAGTCCGCCACTGCAAATCAGTCTGGAAACTGGATTCAAAGGTAAAACACACCGATGTCTTTGATTTTGGTCTCTACTGCACAGTTTGACAGACAAATGATAAACCTAACACATGCATGCTTTGATTTCCTTGGTAGGTCATATTTTTCACTTTCTGGATGTGCAAAGTCTGGATAGTACACATCACCGGACCAAACCTTTATCAGGTAAGGAATTCCATCGCGTTTGTTGAAAATATTTTGCTTCCTTTCCTCTCATGTATGTGTATGTATGATTGTATGTGTGTGATTTTAGATTGTAATGCATCACAAATTTGTGGCATAAAAATTGACATTTGTAGACTTACCCTTTGTTTGGTGACTGTGATAATTGAGAGAAAGGAAAATAAAATTTCGAAGATTGATGCTTTTATGTGATTTCTTGGCTCTTTTTTTTCATATGATTTTCATTGTATGTGTGCCCGTGTATGTCTCTTCTTGAAAAATACATGTTGAAAATGGGAGAATTTTGGACATGACACGTTTAGAAGTGAGGTTTTCTGAATGAAGACACTTTTATGATTTGTTTGTAATTTGTTTTGCAAATGGGTAGGAATGTCATTCTAAAAGGATATTGGCAGGAGAGGGTGGAATGTCATTCTAAAATATGTGTAATTCAGTTCTCTCATTTTCTATAGCAGAATTGCGGATTTCTAAATCGAAAAGGAGAAATAAACACTATAGAAGTTTATGCAGAAGGAGCATGTAAAAGAGAAGCACAGGTAAAGGTTTATGAGGTCAGTTGGCTGTTTTCTTTTTAGTGTTTTCAATTTGTTCCTTTTAGTCTGGCTGCAATTTTTTAATCTCTGGTTATGCATCAATTTCTCTGCTTCTTTGTAAATCTTGCAGGTGAGGACAACACACTTATCAGGGCAATGTCGGGATGTTTTGGCTTGGGTGGAGACATGGACTTATGGAAGAGGTGAAGCATAGGTTTCTGTCATTAGCTTTATCTGTTCTATGCATCTCTGCAATCTTACAATGCTCCTTTATTTAATTGCAAGATGTTGGGGACCGGTTACTGGAATACAAGATTTGGAACAAAAGTGGTTGACAATGCAAGAGTCGAAAGCAAGTGTGAAATTCGCATTGAAAATGACAGGTGAGAATGCTAATCATATTCTAAAAAAATGTTGGGTTTCCTGATGAGTTCTCTAGCTGAATTCAAGAGGCTAATTTAGTGATTTGGAGTTAATTTTGTAAATTTATTGAATAAAGTTATTTGTTATTTAGCTTATCTTGCGTTTGGTTTGGTTTTAGGAGAGGGTTACGCATGATCCGTAGGTTCATTCAACCTCGCTGTTTTCGTTAGAATCACAATTAAGGTCAGTTTTTCCAACAGTTTTTTTGCTTTTTGCTGCATGTTTGTGCATGTTTGGTCTCTGAGATTTTGTTTTTAGTCACTGTTGATTTGTAGTTTATGTCTTCCTTTAGCTACATATTGACACATGTTTATTCTCAGCATTTTTTTGTTATGGTAAGTGGTTTGGGGAGTTCTGTATTATTATATAATCTTTGGGGCTATTTTAAGTAAAAATGAAATGTTGACATTGATATAGCATACGGCACACTTAATTCACACTCCTATATTCTTCGGTTTTCATGTTTCCATTGCAACACTCTGCATTTCCGAGCCAATGAATTTTTTGATAAAGATGTACTTAAAGCAATTACATGCTCTATCAAGTATGTTTTATATGTGGTTGTGGTAGTTGCAAGGAAATGAAATATTTGTGCTGATAATTGGTAGTTTAAATATATAGAAATAGAGAAGAATTATAAATGGAGCACCTAGGATATTTAACATTGTTTTCTTTTCCATGTATTTTTTCTCATGTTTAATATCTGCTTTTGCTTATGCATATGATTCAAGTGCTATTTTTATTAGTGTTAATTTTGGGTTGCATATCAACAAACTAACCCAGTTAATTTTGCTTAGTGTTCATGTATAACGAGAACTCTCATTGCATCAACTTGAACAAACATTCTTCTACTTAGTTGCTTAGCTGCTGCAACAAGAACAGGAGAACTCTCATTGCATCAACTTGAACAAACATTCTTCTACTTAGTTGCTTAGCTGCTGCAACAAGAACGAAACACTTTTTATGTTTTTTTGTTTAACTGCTAAAACAGGTGACTGGCCTCCAGGACATATATTTTGCCATCTTAACTTTAAAGGCAATACATATGTAAAATGCATGTTGCTTAGGGAAACAGAGCATTTTTTGCAACCACATCTTTTGTAATCAGCTCGGTTGAATGTATATAAAAGTTAAGCTACTTATCTTACCTACACCGATCACTCATCTATCCTTTTTGTTCGTTCATGATTATGTTGAATTTTTTTTTCAGGTTAAATGTGTCTTATTCATGTAGTTAAGGCTGGTGCATTCAAGTCCCGCAGCAACGCGCGGGCATTTTTCTAGTTATCTCTATATCTATGGATCGCTATCACAGCTGTCATGTTTATATCATTATTCATGACTTTTGCCTAAATTGGTGAGCGAACAATTTGTGGTGCACATCAAGGAAGTCTTACATATTTAGATGCTATATGATAGGGAGATTAAATTTTTAAATCAAATTTGCAAATAAAATGATGTGTTATCAATATAAAATAAGCATGGTAATTAACACATAATAATTCAATCTTCAACATCCACATCATTTGGTTTACAAAAATTAGTTTAGAAATTTGGTATTCCTAACATTACTCAGTATACCCATTATATATAATATATACATCCTATACTTCTTATTAATAATAACTAGCGTGATCTTCATTTGCAAAATAATGCAAGAAATTAAGGCTGCATTTATTAATTTTATAAGGGAAAATTTTGATATGAGTCTAATTTTGTGAGCCTTTATGAGGTATAGTCCAATTTTGCTTGGTTATTTTTGAGAAACGGTACGATATTCATTAAGAGGCAAAGAATACATGCAACCTGAGGATAATGTGCATACTGGGTCTCGATAAAAACCTTGCCGAGACTTTCAACTCGGTCTAAGGGAAAAAGAGTGTCCCGCACAACAATGTAACCTATCCTCAGCTAAACAATAAATAAATTACATTCCTTCCTCAACTAAAACATCATGGAGTAAGTTCGAAGGCTCCTTAAACCACATAAGAACTCCCAATATCCATATAAGCAAGGCGATGAGCTGCTGAATTACCCTCTTCTGCACATGATTAAACCTCGGGAAGAATCTAACATCGTTTATTACAGGACCCAAAGGTGAGCAATCTTCCTCTTGATCCTTCATTGTTGTCAGCACCAAGCTAGAATCACCTTCAAATATAACCTTCCAACTAGACTTGGCAGTTTTTGACACGACACGAAAACGACACGAAAATAACGGGTTTCAGGTCAACATGATAACTTATCGGGTCACTATCGGGTGACCCGTTAAGAACCCGTTAATAACGGGTTCTTAATAGGTATACACGCGAGTAACACGTGGGTAACCCATTTCGACCCGTTAAGAAAAAAAATATTTTAATAATTTTAAAGTTTAATTACTAAAAGATTTATTATAAAATACAATAGTCATATTAATATATACAATATATTCTATATTAAATATATAGTATTGTATTATTGTTCTATATAAATTATAAAAAAATTAAAAAAAAGTTTTAGTCATTATTTATTTTTATTATGAGAGTTCCTTATTATCATTACTAGGATAAATTTTACATAACATATTCTTGTCCAAAATTAAAATATACTGGTATAGTATTTGTATATGCAAGAACTAAGAAGACATACATACAAGTATGAAAAATGTGAAAGAATATATAAACACTCGTGATTTATCATTATTCCTCTACGAATAGATAATTGTTACACTTATATTATCGTTTAGATTTTTAAAATCCTTCAAACCCTCATGAATAATGTTTTTTATTTGAGGGAAAAATTAATAAAATTAATAATAATTATTGTAGAAGTGTAAAACATGTAAAAAATATATATATACAATCACTCATATATAAAAAAATGTAAATGCTTTAAATTAAAGATCAAATTTATTCATTACATTCTTATAGGGTCGAGGAGTGTATCTGTAAAAAATCATCAAAATTGAAACTCAAATAACCGTTAAATTGTGATTTTTCGTTTATAATCGTCGAAAACTTTTGTTCCGTTACGTAATCTCTGAATGTTTATTTTTTATGATTTTTTACGTATGCGATCTCGGAATGTATACAAATAAGTTTGACGGTTTGATCATTGAAAAAAGTTTTGTAGAATGCATATTGCGTCAAAACAGTAGATTAAACAAACACTTAGAGTTAATATTATACTTTTATTAAGTATAAAATAAGTTTTTGTGGTATCCACTAGTGTAAATACTTTAAATTAAAGATCAAATTTATTCATTACATTCTTATAGGGTCAAGGAGTGTATCTGTAAAAAATCATCAAAATCGGAGATAAAATAATCATTAAATTGTGATTTTTCGTTTATAACCGTCGAAAACTTTTGTTCCATTACGTAATCTCTGAATGTTTGTTTTTTACGATTTTTTACGTATGCGATCTTGGAATGTGTACAAATAAGTTTGACGGTTGGATCGTTGAAAAAAGCTTCGTAGAATGCATATTGCGTCAAAATGGTAGATTAAACAAACACTTAGAGTTAATATTATACTTCTATTAAGTATAAAATAAGTTTTTATGGTATCCACTAGTGTAAATACTTTAAATTAAAGATCAAATTTATTCATTACATTTTTATAGGGTCAAGGAGTGTATTTGTAAAAAATCATCAAAATCGGAGCTAAGATAACCGTTAAATTGTGATTTTTCGTTTATAACCGTCGAAAACTTTTGTTCCGTTACGTAATCTCTGAATGTTTGTTTTTTATGATTTTTTACGTATGCGATCTCGGAATGTGTAAAAAATAAGTTTGACGGTTGGATCGTTGAAAAAAGTTTTGTAGAATGCATATTGTGTCAAAACAGTAGATTAAACAAACACTTAATATTATACTTCTATTAAGGATAAAATAAGTTTTTGTGGTATCCACTAGTGTAAATACTTTAAATTAAAGATCAAATTTATTCATTACATTCTTATAGGGTCGAGGAGTGTATCTGTAAAAAAATCATCAAAATCAGAGATGAAATAACCGTTAAATTGTGATTTTTTCGTTTATAACCGTCGAAAACTTTTTGTTCCATTACGCAATCTCTGAATGTTTGTTTTTTACGATTTTTTAACGTATGCGATCTTGGAACGTGTACAAATACGTTTGACGGTTGGATCATTGAAAAAAATTGCGTAGAATGCATATTGCGTCAAAACGGTAGATTAAACAAACACTTAAGAGTTAATATTATAGTTCTATTAATTATAAAATAAGTTTTTGTGGTATCCACTAGTGTAAATTCTTTAAATTAAAGATCAAATTTATTCATTACATTCTTATAGGGTCGAGGAGTGTATTTGTAAAAAATCATCAAAATCGGAGCTAAGATAACCGTTAAATTGTGATTTTTCGTTTATAACCGTCGAAAACTTTTGTTCCGTTACGTAATCTCTGAATGTTTGTTTTTTATGATTTTTTACGTATGCGATCTCGGAATGTGTAAAAATAAGTTTGACGGTTGGATCGTTGAAAAAAGTTTTGTAGAATGCATATTGTGTCAAAACAGTAAATTAAACAAACACTTAATATTATACTTCTATTAAGGATAAAATAAGTTTTTGTGGTATCCACTAGTGTAAATACTTTAAATTAAAGATCAAATTTATTCATTACATTCTTATAGGGTCGAGGAGTGTATCTGTAAAAAATCATCAAAATCAGAGATGAAATAACCGTTAAATTGTGATTTTTCGTTTATAACCGTCGAAAACTTTTGTTCCATTACGCAATCTCTGAATGTTTGTTTTTTACGATTTTTAACGTATGCGATCTTGGAACGTGTACAAATACGTTTGACGGTTGGATCATTGAAAAAAATTGCGTAGAATGCATATTGCGTCAAAACGGTAGATTAAACAAACACTTAAGAGTTAATATTATACTTCTATTAATTATAAAATAAGTTTTTGTGGTATCCACTAGTGTAAATTCTTTAAATTAAAGATCAAATTTATTCATTACATTCTTATAGGGTCGAGGAGTGTATTTGTAAAAAATCATCAAAATCGGAGCTCAAATTACCGTTAAATTGTGATTTTTCGTTTATAACCGTCGAAAACTTTTGTTCTATTACGTAATCTCTGAATGTTTGTTTTTTACGATTTTTTACGTATGCGATCTCGAAATGTGTACAATAAGTTTGACGGTTGGATCGTTGAAAAAAGTTTTGT